ATTATATGAGTTATGTGATTTGGTGACCAAATGTTGTTCGGGTGAGATCACGAACATGATGAGGAGTCTCGAAATGGTCGAGAGGTAAAGATTGATATATAGGACTATGGTATTCGGACACCGGAAGTGTTCCAGAGGGTACCGGGTACATATCGGGTCACCGGAAGGGGTTCCGGGCACCCCCGGCAAAAAGATATGGGCCTTATGGGCCAAGAGGGGAAACACACCAGCCACAAGGGGCTAGTGCACCCTCTATATGGGCCGAACCAGGAGGAGAAGGAAAGAGGGGAAGAGAAAGGAAAGGAGGGATTCAGCATCCCCCTTCCCTTTCTCCCCTCTCCTCTTTCCTTCCCCCTCCGGCATATATGGCAGGGGGCGCGCGGCTTGGGAGGAGCCCAAGTAGGATTCGGTCCTACTTGGGGTGCTTCCTGGCCTCTCCCCTCCCCCTCCCACCTATATATATGTGGGGGGCACCCCTAGCACACCCCAAAGAATTGCCTAGCCGTGTGCGGCGCCCCCTTCCACCGTTTACTCCCTCGGTCATATTTTCGTAGTGCTTAGGCGAAGCCCTGCGGAGATCACTTCACCATCACCGTCACCACGCCGTCATGCTGACGGAACTCATCTACTACCTTGATGTCTTGCTGGATTAAAAAGGCGAGGGACGTCACCGAGCTGAACGTGTGCAGAACTCGGAGGTGTCGTACGTTCGATACTCGATCTGTGGATCTTGAAGAAAGTTCGACTACATTGACCGCGTTGTGAAACGCTTCCGCTTACGGTCTACGAGGGTACGTAGACACACTCTACCCCTCGTTGCTATGCATCTCCATGGATAGATTGCGTCTGCGTAGAAAAAAAATGTTTTTCCTTGCACCGATTCACAACAGATCCCACTCTTGAGCTATCTAGCCCCTTGTCGAACTTACCGTTGAACCTATAAGGTGTCGTTGTGATCACCATGTTATGAATGACGTTTGAGCCACTCCAAAGTCCATCATATGGTAAGAGGTGACTGCAATACTCTCATGGTCTAGGAACTAAAGCATACGCCAACTCTTTGTGTTATATCGATTGACTTGTGACAGTAGTATCTCAAAGTATAATAAACAAGCTGGGCCAACTCAATAAGATCATTCTTCTAACATTATACTCTCGAAGTTGTTTGGGACTATAGTTACACTTAACAATATCCCAAGATCTAGAAAGCATGATCACAAGCAACACTTGAGCTAGTCCTAGAGGCGAGACTAGGAATCAGGTTTTGTCATTTATCATTCCACACGTGCTTATGAGTTTTCCACTGAATTGCATATTCCAAAATCATATAAGTTATAGAATAGAACATAAACTCTTAATTATAAATGCAGAAATAAATAATACAAATGTTATTGCCTCTAGGGCATTTTCAACAACAAGCTCTAGCAATGAGCTTTTCCCAAAATCGGTGAGTGGTTAGGGCTTGAGTACATCAACTCCTATAGAACTGTCTGTCCCGGACGATGTACAAGACAAGCTTTCTCAATTAAGCCTTGAATACTCAGAGCTTGCCATTCGTGCTTCGCTCGGTTACACTTCAAGAGGAGATGCTTAATGCCGTACGCTCCAATCCCACAGAATAGGCATTTCCCTCTCACTTTGATATGGCGCTTCACCAGGGTAACCCAAGAAGGAATAGTATTACGCATAACTCTCCAAAAAATTAACCTTCATTGACACTTTGAGTCCCCATATTTTATCCCAAATTGGATGAGGTTATATACCGATTTCTTGATCACCTATGTTTAACCTTTGGCCATATTGGCCCTCTCATTCTACATAAGATCATGAATGCATAGAGAATGTGCTCGTACGAGTCAGGTTCCAAGCAACAAAATCTTGCATGCCAAAAGATGATAACAGGGATAGCAAGAATTCTTTGAACATCCGCTTGCCAAAAAGTCGGCTTCACTAGGTCCACATCCCAGTGATCTGTGTTGTGATCAATAAGGTCGCTCACCCTACTAAGAATGTTTTGGCCCCTTCTAGTTGTTACTTTACCTGATGCACTATTTGGGATCCATCCGTCTTTTCAGATATCAATATTTCCATCTCCCACACGCCATATATGACCACGTTTTATGTAAGAGGAATAGAGAGGAGAGATAATTGGTGTAATGTGGTGTGTGTTGTATTGAGCCTCTCGGGCAGTTTATATAGAGTACATGGCTTGGAGAGCAAGAAGTCTATCATAGAGATAAGGCGGGAGATGATTTCAAATCATATGCTACCAAATACAAGAGATATGCCTAGATACTCTAACATCCAACCACAGTCGTACCGATAGCATCGCAGACAGCAGGAGCATCACGGACGGTCAGACTAGAGATAAATCGGCGTAGAAGCCGACGGGCTGACATCCCCCTGCAGTCGTAGCGGGAGCGCTACGGACGGTGTCGCATCGCAAACACGTTGACTATAGAGGAAGCCGTCGAGTTGATTAAGCGAGGTCATAGCCCTTGGTGTCAAAGTCGAGGAAGTCGAGAGCATGGGTGGCGGAGTTGTGGTCGAGGTAGCCGTACGAGGGGTTGTCATGGTCGATGTCGTGGTCGGGTGCCCGTGTCAAGGTAGCCGCACATGAAGCCGCATGCGCATAGTACGCGAAGAGAGTAACGGAGACGCGTCGACGCAGTCGTCAAGGAAAACAATGCCGAAGGAGACACAGTCTGAGCCGTCGAGGACGAGGTGCGACCATAGTTTTGCCAGAACCAGGCGCATGTCGGGGACGAAGGTATACTCTGGTTTTGCTAGAACTGAGTGCACAAAGAAGAACTCAGCGGTGACGCGATCGAGGCATTCGTAGAGGAGGGTGTCACTGCCGAAGAAGAAGTCGTCGATACTGATGAAGACGAGGCGCCAATTCGACCTTGCCAGACTCGGGAACGTGTCAGGGACGAAGGCACGTACCGATGTTGCCAATACCGGGCGTGTGAAGGTAGGGACCATCATGACATGTGTGCCATTGTCGTAGGGACTAGCAGAGGAGGCCTCTGTGACAGTTGCGAGGCACAGAGCGGCTAAGAGAGAGAAGTGATGGTGTAGTTCACGGTTGTCAGAGTAGATGAAGTAGTGGAGGACAAGATGACGTTGGTGACAAAGTCGTGGTGAATGAAGACAAAGCCGATGAAACTAGCAGCGACCTGAAGCGGTCATGTTGGACACCTGGACTGGTGAAGACGTTGTCGGCAGGACATGCAACGAGGACGAGCTGCCATGCAGGTTGCCTGTATAAGTGCGGCGGTGGTGCTCAAAGTTGCCAAACACGTGACGAAGACCGTGCACGGACGGTGGCGATCACGCGTCGTCGAAGGCGGTGCATGAGAGCCGGGGACGTCAGATGCGCGGACATGGTGAAGATGACTGCATGCGGCAGCAGCACGGCCAGAAGGGCGATGCAGCGGCAGCGCGCGTGTCGAGGCGACGGCGGGGAAGACCTCTGGGCGGTGGCATGGATCGCGTGTCGTGGTGCTATGGCTTGAAGGGGCGACGTAGCGACAGTGCGCGGGTCGGTGCAATCGTGGGGAGGATCTCGAGGCAGCGGCATGGACCGGATGTCGTGGCGTAATGGCCCAAAGGGGCGATGGCGGGAGCGGCACGCGGGTCAGCCACCGTTGGGAGGACCTCGGGCGGTGACACTGTGGTCCAAAGGGACGATGCAGTGGCAACTCGTGGCTCGATCCATGGTAGGCACATGCTCGAGGACGTGCTTGGCAAAGACGTGCGCGGGGTCGGTTGATCAGACCGACGGCGGTGTTGTACGCGCCATTGTGTGGATGACGCGTAGATCGAAGTACATGGCGACGTTGTCGGTGATGTCGGGTGATGACAACGAAGACGGGTCGACAATGGAGACCATGCGGAGAGAGTGGCTGGCAGCGACGCATGAAGGCGTCCCTTGTGCGGCGCGTCTAGCCTTGTCGTGCGGTTGATGATGAACTGGTCGATCTAGAGTCAACGCCGTTGTCGGAGTAGAGGCGTGTGAGGACTACAAGCAGTGGGTGACGCGATCCAATCTATGATCGGTTAACCAAAAAAGAAGACCGACCCGACCGACAGAGAGAAATCTGATCTAGAATCGAAATACTCACCAGGGCAGCCGATCACATATCATCGAACAAACCCTGCTACGGGTTGCGCGGCCCCGGCGGCAATCATAGAGATCAACCGCCCCGGGGCGGCACGGTGCAGAAGCGGCGGCGGCTAGGGTTTGGTCCGGGATGACAAATACCTTGCACGCAACACAGTAGCACAGAGAGAATCAAGGTTCTCTACTATCGCCATGATTGCTTTGCTAACAAGGATAGATTAAAGCAGTGGATATCCCTAAAACCCTTTCCTCTTTGATCTGCATCATCGCGTGATCGGTTTGTAGATTTGTTTTATCGCATATGATCGTACCAAGAAGCATTTCTTTCCACCCGTGGACAATTTCTTTTTCCTTTTCAACCAAGCGGACTCTTTAACACTATCAACCAAGAATTGAAAATTATCACTTCTATCGGCAGCAACAATCTGTCCCAAGCAATTAGCATCATAGAATATTGCTTCTTTTTTACAAACCATCTCGACAAACTTTACTCCTTTTAAGTTCAACTTGTAAAGAAAGAGGTATGTGTTAAAGCCGGTACTATGAGTTGGGTGTATTCCTTTTTCACAAATGAAACAAATAACAAATAACATGATTTCCCTGCATTACATTAACAGCATATTTTTATTTTCCCAACAAATACGCACCTACCAATTCACAACGCTAAGTGTTGAGACATGATATACAATCAATGGGATCCTACCTTTTTCTAGTTCTATATATACACCACCAACACACTAAAACGAGTCTTGCACAATATTGCATTTCCTTTTTCCAATTTACAGGCTAACCAATCAAGCCAGCGGCAACCTATGGGCTATATTAACACGCAAACGTGTAGCGTCAACGCATGTCACTCTATATCTTGCTTGCCTCAGTCATTGTTCTTGAAGAAGGAACCCCATTTTTGTGTCAATCCATCAATCAGGCTGCCAGTCCGGCTCTTCTGGACTACAAGTGTTGCTCTTGTGCCATCCTCTCCATTGGGGTTCTGGGTGAGTTTCTGGGATTCTGCCGAGCCATATTTTCCTTCGATGACCTGAGTTGAGCCGTTGGATTCTGATGCGCCAGAAACATTAGCAGAAACAGCATCATTTACAGTGCAGCGATCTGCACTTTGCAGACTAGACGCCTTTGCTACACTGTTACAGGCTGCTACATCCTTACCAGGAGCATCAGCACCACGCACAGAGATGGAGGATGCATCTGTCTCCAATGCCACTACATCAGGTGCTACACTATTTTCTTTGGAAGCAACATCAGATACAGCTGATTGAGTGTTCTTTGTATTTGACTTGTCTAAATCCTTCAGGGACTCGAGAATTGCTTGCATCAGCATCTGCGTTTAGACACAGCAGAATAGAGATTAACCACTGGTACGGTTAGAAACGTGGAAAGGTAGGCTAGGAAGTACTCCCTCCGAGGGAGTAGTATATACGCATTCAGGACAAATCAGCCTACACCATGATAATTCCTAGAACGTCCATTAACATAGAAACAGAACGGGGACTTAGTTGACATGCTCATTTCAAAAATCAGTTTGCACCAGAAATCCTTGTTGAGACATTTATTTTCATAGTTTAAATAGTGATTAGGGAGTGAGTATCAACAGTAGCTTCAGATACAGAAAAAACAAGCTTTTTACAAATCAATCATCCATATCAGGCATAACCTTCATATCTCCCAACACCAGCTTCTACTCCAACTTGACTACTCTGCACTCTAGCTGAGACCCAGGAGGCCAGGAACATAGTTCTAGATCCTCCCTTTTTTCTCACCACCCATATTACACGTTTTGGAATGCTTTTGTGTGTTGAACTCTATAGAGGCATTAAGAAACTACAAACTCCTCAAATATGAAAGCAAAGCGACAACCCCAAAGAGTGTTACGGTATAACTTACTCTATCTTCATCTTCCTCGGTGTAAGGCATATCTGATATGTTATCAAATGAATACTCCACATACTCGCCATCATCAGAGGTTGGAGTGAGCATCCTTCCATTACGGCCATTGGGAGGAGTCACAGTAGATGCACTAGATGAGGAGGGGCCAACATCACTATCCAATACCTGTTCAAACAGCAAGTAGAAGTAAATCTGAGTGGTGATGCTTGATGAGTGTAATCTTCTGCAAGGTTGGTAAAAGATCAACATTTCACACATACAAACCAAAGCATTCCCTCCAAAACTCAACAGTGTTATATACCATCGGAAGAGGCCTATTTTGTCAGGCTAATCTACTTGCAACATGAGACTTTTGAGTTCATGTTACAGCCACCAATTGTTCATGAACACACATTGTACCGATGATTAAAGTGCAAAAAACCAATCATGCAACACATCAAGAAAATATTCAAGTACCACCACGGATTAGTGTATTGCTAATCCTCACACATTTTCACTTAACCAGAAGTATTTGCTATGCTCATTCTCTTAAGTGCCCAACAGGCTCTGAAATCAATTATAAATACACTGACGATTCTAAACAAAAAGATACCTAAAATCATACTCCCTCCGTCCGGAAATACTTGTCAGAGAAATGGATGTATCTAGACGTATTCTAGTTCTAAATACATCCATTTTGATCCATTTCCGCGACAAGTAATTCCGGATGGAGGGAGTATATTATACTTTAAATTACATATCAAGGTTGCCTAACAACCATTATTAGATTCAAATTTCATACCGCAAAACGTCTTAAGATCACGTGCAAGAATCGCTGCAACTGTATCAAAGAGCCAATCAACACAAAAATGACACATAGAGCAGAGAGTGAGGGAGAAAATTACAAACAATTTGGGATTTTGTAGGTGATGTATTTGGAACAATCCTCACCTATAAGGTGCAAGGTACTCTAAACATGACCAATCAAATAGACCAAATATTTCTATAATAAAACCTATATCGGCATTGTAACAATGTTAACTTTAAGTCATTCTATGCCAAGCTTTTTGGAGGCCGGGGGAAATCAGCCAATTAGGTAAGGTAAAAGAATTTGGTGTTACGGAAGACATAAAATATAATCCTAAGAGGTGGAAATAGCATAAAATAACACCTCAGTTCTGTCGGCCCTGCCTTCTGTGGCGGTTCCAGATGGGACCTGCAAATGATCAAAAGAAAACAAAGCTGAGTTTGCTGCTCCCTGCTGGTTCGAACACTGTAAAATGTTTCACAACAATTGGATTGCTACTAAGATAACTTTATTCTTGCTATTATGCTTCCATCAGAGGATAATAAGAGCAAGAACGAGAACCAATAAATTAGAACACCAATCACAATGACACAGCAGAATTGCAGAATTGTTCAGAATGTCAACTAACTGAAACACCCACCTCCATTCTGCTCATGAGCCTTCTAGAACGCAACTGTGCAATGGCATCTTCTGTCGTAGTTGAAGGGGCTGCCCCAGAGCAAATATCACAGATGTTACGTACCATGAATGATGCGCCAATTATGTGAGTGTCAAGGTTTGCAAATCATACCTGTTGGTGATTGAGCAATTCTATACTCTATATCATGTTCTGTATCCCAGTGACCCTGTACGGTGTTAGGAGTATTAGTATTGGTATAGGAGTCCTTATTAGGCTATGTCTCTTTCCTTGTACCCCAAGCCTTTGTATAATACTCCCTCCGTTCCATATTAAGTGTCGCTGATTTAACACAAAGTTGTACTAAATCAGCGACAATTAATATGGACAATTAATATGGAACGGAGGGAGTATATATATATGACCTTGCGCTATGCAATAGAGATTGGTGCATCTATGCTTGCGAAGCAGTGTTAGAGGCTGATTGATAATTATGAATCCCTATGTGCTAGGGTTTTGAGGTCTAAATATTACCCTTCTGGAGATATCTCAAACTGTCAGCTCAGCTCAAGAAAGGATGATCTTATGTCAGGCAGAGCATCTGGGCAGGAATTCAAACATTCAGAAAAGGGTGTATTTGGAGAGTTGGCAATGGCATGAAAATTAATATTTGGGAAGATTGTTGGAACCCACTCCATACTCTACATCATGTTCTGTATCCCAGTGACCATGTACAGTGTTAACTGTTTAGTATTAGTATTGGTATAGGAGTCCTTGTTAGGATATGTCTCTTTCCTTGTGCCCCAAGTCTTGTATAATACTCCCTCCGTTCCATATTAAGTATCGCTGATTTAGTACAATGATTTAATACAAAGTTGTACTGAATCAGCGACACTTAATATGGAACAGAGGGAGTATATATATATGACCCTTGCGCTATGCAATAGAGATAAGTCGCATCTATGCTTGCGAAGCAGTGTTGGAGGCTGATTGATAATTATGAATTCCTATGTGCTAGGGTTTTGAGGTCTAAATATTACCCTTCTGGAGATATCTTAACTGTCAGCTCAAGAAAGGATCATCTTATGTCTTGCAGAGCATCTGGGCAGGAATTCAGACATTCAAAAAAGGGTGTATTTGGAGAGTTGGCAATGGCCTGAAAATTAATATTTGGGAAGATTGCTGGGTCCCAAATAGTTTTTCAAGGAAAATAATCACACTGTGGGGTAACAGGGTGCTGACAAGAGTTAATGAGCTCCTAGATCCGGTCACAGAAGGATGGGATGAGCCACTTATCATTGACAATTTTTGACATATCGTTGCAGAACGTATACTACAAATCCCTATATACATGAGACAGATGACTTTGTTGCTTGGCACCTAACAAAGCTCGGCCTCTTCAGTGTACGTTCTTACTTGAGTCAAAACCCACCCTGGGTGTCAAGATGGGAATGGGCCGACCCGGACCTGGCCTTGGACCTTGCCCCGTGGCCCCAAGGTCAATATGTGAGGCCATGGGTCGGCCCATTTCATCCAAAAATCGTGGCTTCACTGACCCATTGGGTACATAAGGCCGACCCAAAATTCAGTGAATTCACACTTATTTCTGCTGAAAAAATGTCTATGGTACACCAAGCTGCATGAAAGGAGTAGTCTGTACCAGGACCCAAAAATTCCATGTATGCAGTCTAGGAGATTGACAAAAACTCCTATAGACATACGCAGCGGAACTATTGCACAACCAACACTGAAACTACTACAGAATCTACACTGAAGCTATAGTAGTCTCACCTGTGCAGAATCCTTGTACGCACTGAAACTCCAGAATCCTTATTTACGCACTGAAACTTGTACAGTACTTTACAGAATCTACTAAACTGAAACTCCTACAGAATCTACACATATATGCACTGACCAATAACCAAAACGGGGCAATCTAGTCTCACGTGTGCTTGGCTTGCACTTGCACCGGGAAGGGGAGGAAGCAGGCAAGAGTGAGCACAATCCGGAGACCAGGAAGGCCACCGGGATGACGAGCTGGACAAGTCGGAGAGGAACGGAACGGCGACCGGGACAGTGGGATGGCGAGCTTGACGGGCGACCAGTACCGTGAGACGTAGAGCAATACGACGGCGACCGGGAGGAACGCCGGCAGCAGCAGAGATGCGGGGCAGCTGGCAACGACAGAGATGCTCGGGGGCGGGCGGCAGCGACTACGCATAGCGATTTGCTGGGTCGACCCATCTGACCCATTGGGTCGCACGGTGCCGGCTCCACTGACCCGTATATCATTTAGGGCCAACCCACTTGGCCTATTGGCCTCAATCTTTTGGGCCGGGTCAGTGACCCAGCGGGCCGACCCGGCCCATTCCCATCTTGACCTGGGTGGACTAGGTATTTCTACGCCGCATCCGGTTTGGAAAATTCTGTGGAATATGAAAATGCCAGGTAAGAACATCTCTAGCAGATCCCGCAAACAAACTGAAACACATACTGCATATTCAAACTAGCAGTTCGCGCCACTTTAAAACATCACCGGAGTTCATACTTTAAAACATAGTTCATACTAAAACATCACCCGAGTTCATACTTAAAACATAGTTCATACTTAAACAACACCGTAGTTTATACTTAAAACATAGTTCATACTAGCATAAACGGAAATTAAACTAGATCTAACCGTCATACCATCACCGGACTTACCGAGCTCCATGAGGGAGTTGGAGAACACGAAGGCGAGGTCATACTCCTCCTCCAACGCCGGCACCCGCGCTGTTGCAGCTTCGTCCCCGGCGGCGGACGCCTCCTTCGCCTCGGACCACGCAACCTCCGCCGCCCGGAGACGCTTGAGCTCGGGGGACAAGATGCGGTCGAGCCTGTCAAATTTGGTCCATGCCCGTGCTCCGCGCGGACGCCGCGCATGTTCCCTGCGCCACTCCACCTGCGGGCGGAGGGAGGAGCTCCCAGCCTCAGCGTCGTTGTGGCGCTTGTGAGGCAGCTCGCTGCCGAGCCCGCCTCAGCCACCCCTCCCGCCACCCGCGCACGACATCGCGGCTCGGTTCCGGTGGCTACGCTCACCGCAAAACGATGCCGGCGGGAAGGCGATTTGTCGCCAGAGAAGTAGAAATGCGACGGAGGATAAGGGAAAAGGAGAACGCAAGCCCTAAAACGACTTAGTGCCGGTATACATTGCGGATTCGGGGGCGGTTTACAGGCCTCCCATAAAAAATTTACAGGCCGGGCCATTTTTACCGGACCTGTTCGGGCCTGTTTTCTGGAGCGTCCCGTAAATCCATCGGAAAAACGCAGCCCGGTGAGCAACTCTAGCAACTCCTATAAAAGCTCGCCGAACCGGGTTTTTTTGGCAGATTTATGGGACGCTCCAAAAACCCGGCCTGAACAGGTCCGGTAAAAACGGCCTGGCCCATAAAAGTTTTACGGGAGGCCCGTAAACCGCCCCCGAGTCCGCAATACATACCAGCGCTAGGCTGTTTTAGGGTTTGTGTCCTCCTTTTCCCTTGGAACATCTCTAGCAAACTCCTTAAAAACACGAAAACTGTAAAATCCCGGCGACTATGCGGGTTTGGCCCCTTTTTTGGGCCAGATCAGAGCCCGTATAGTCGCCCGGCCCATGAAAGATTTTACGGTGGCCCGCAAACCGCACCTTCCCACGCGCTCCCTCACACTGTATATCTACGAGTTTGCGGCGACTATACGGGGCGAAACCCTATCCCCCCACCGTTGCGATTCCCCAATCCCCTCTCCCATTTCTCGCCACCGGTGAGCTAAATCCGCCGCCGCTCCCCCGCCGCAAGACAAAAGAGTACGACCGCAAGCAGGCTCGTTTGTCCTCCGGCGCGAGCAGCTCCTCGGCTGCGGGCAGCTCCGCCAGGGGGTCGAGCTCCCATACGCCGCTCCTCATGCCGGTGAAAAGGGAGCCAGAGGAGCTCCCGCTGCTTCGCGCGGTGAAGGGG